GGATAGTGCTGAGGGAGCCTGGCAGTGGGGCCAGGGATGGGACACTGCCCGCGGTCGCCTGACCCCCCCTCCGCAGGACTCAGGAGGCAGTGGCTGCAGAAGATGCCCTCGTAGAAAACCCATCCGCGCTGCTGAGGGCAAGGAACACGCCCGACCAGCTCCCGAGGAAAGTCTGTGCCGCTCCCAGGCTGAGTCCTGCTGCCTATGCGGGAGCGCTCAGCCCCGACGGGAACGCTGTGGGAGATCATTCGTGCAGGGTTTGGGTGCTTGGTCCGTGTGTTAGAGGGGAAAGTCGCAGTAGCCATCTGCATAACTCTGCTTCACTCCTTGGTAGCTGTGAGGAACTCGCCTCCTCCTTGGCTGCCTCCAAGGAATAGCTGTGTGACAGACAGGCCTCACAAGTTAAAAGAATGTTGTTGTGTGTTCCAGCAGGATCTGGTTTTGTTTGGCATTGAGAATCTCTCATGGAGAATGCTTAAGCAGGGATCAATGACATCACTCGGCAGGAAACTCTCTTGGAAAGAAGAGCTGCTATCAGACAATCTTGCAGGATGATGAAAGGGTCACGGATAACCTCCTCAGCAGTTGAATACTTCATAGGTCATAGCCCAGTTTATGGACTGAGATGCAGATGTTGTAGATACTGGAATTTATTTTTAGCATGAAATTCCATTTGAGAAACATATTATCCAGTTTTACTTCTGTGTGAGCAACCAGGGTGCCAGATGTTAGCAAGTTCAGCTTTGTGAGAAACAACACTACATTCATTCAGTATTTAACATCTTCAGTCTGTGCTGCCCTTCAAAAATCCTTCCCCAGAACCGACCTCTTCCTTATCGTGTGTTTGAGGGAAAAGCAGCTCGATACCTTACCAGTGCAATAGTCACAGTGAGCTAAAAAGTTGCATCTTTGTGAGGTTGCAGTTGTGTATATATACACATACACAGCAGCTTTGGGAAGCAAATCATCCCCAGTTTGAAATAGGTTTACCTAACACAAGAGGTTGGGCTCCTGTGGGTCTGACACTGGGCAGTTGGATTTGCCCCTGGGATGGCTGTGGCAGGGACAGACTGAAGGGTGCTGTTCACTGTAGCAATTTGGTGCCATTTCACAGGAAGCTGAGCTTCTGCTTGGAAGGTGGAAGGAATCAGACAGTGGCAATTTCAGATCCAGAGGGTGAACGTCGGAGTGAGCTGGCTGGATAAGAGCTGCCTGTGGGCTTTGGGAGTGGGAACAGATACCTGTTGGGTTAGAGGGTGAACCAGAGGAGGGGCTGGAAAGAGGATTTGAGTGCTTATCACTTGCAGATACAGTGCTGAAATATTTGTGGTGCCCCAGGAAATGGCATGATCTGAACTGGAGGTTAGTGTGATAGGACTGTCGATGGGACTTTGTTGAGACATTTCTGTGCACAGAGTTGTTAGATGAGGGGTTTTTATAGCTTTTTGTGCCTGCCTGTTTTGTATGTCACATGCAGCTGCTTGTGAAAATACTACACTGGCAAGGAAGGTAAAATGACAGAGTTTGTAAACATCTAGATGAAGCAGAAGGAGAAAAGTTTCATTTTGAAGCTGTTAGCTCTTTGACCACGAATGGAAATGTTGAGGGGAAGGAGGCTTAAAACGAAATATAACAAACAATGAACATGAGTTTTGGGGTTCTTTAGCTTTGAAAAAACTTGTTTCCTGTACAGAGCGAAATGTCTTTGAGCCGTGTGTTAGGTTTGGGTAGTTTCCGGAAAGGATGTGAACTCTTGAGGCTTCAGAGTGGTTTGTCACACACGTGGTGCCTGCAGCCCCCCAGCCGTGCTGCTTGAGTTTATTGTCCAAAGGTGTCATAGGAAGGATGTGAGCTGCCAGTTCTGCCCCTCAGTAGCACTGGAGAGTGAAGTGCTTGGACTCTGAAGCAGTTGGCACTGTTTGAGAACCTGGACCAGTCGAGAATGCTCCTGTTTCAGTTTAGTGTGCAGCTGTGGGTGTTACACTGCTTTGTGTTTTGGGGTTTTATTTTGTTCTCATACAGTTTTTAATAAGCTGAAAAGCATTTTTGTTTTTTCCAGATTTGTTCCTGACCTTCCCTAAAAATGTCCAAGGTAAGAATAGCATTTGTGTCCTTCAATGTCACAATGTGAAACTGGTATTTTCTTTTTAAATATAATCTGCCAGGACAAAATGTGCTTTGTGTTCGATGCTGAAATGTTTGCTAAATTCATGGCTCATAAATAAGGGAGTATTCACATTAGAAGACAGTGTTGAAAGGCTGAGTGGTGTAAAACACATATTAGAGTAGTTTCCTGCAAGTTAAGTCTTTTAAACTCTGGGTCAGTGTAGTTGTTCTGTGCTTTGTGAAACTGTTGAGTAGGAGTAACCCCTGAGCCGTTTACTCTCAGTCTGTCACGTAGCTCAAACCATTGGAAAGGAAAGCAGTTATACAAACAAGTATGTCTTGAGTGGTTGCTGATTATTGTCTCCTTGTATTTTGTTTCATTTTTAGCAACAGCCTGCTCAGTTCACCAATCCAGAAACCCCTGGCTATGTTGGATTTGCAAACCTTCCCAATCAGGTTCACCGGAAGTCTGTGAAGAAGGGCTTTGAGTTTACTCTCATGGTGGTTGGTAAGGAAGCATTTCATTGTCTTCCTTAAAATTGGTGCTTGCTTACAAGGAGTTTGGAGTTAAAATGAATGTTACTTCCACTATGGTGAGGCTTCAGCTTGCATCAGAAACTCTCCTGTACTTTCTTCTGTAGTTTATTAATTAAAACCGTATTTGAACACATTAATAAGTTTGTGGATGTAGTGAAGAAACTCTTGTTCCTTCCTTCCCTCCCTCCAGGATTCAAGCAACTTAAAATACAGTTTTAAGCTTAAAATGTTGTCTCTGCTTCTGTAACTCAACAGAATCTGAACTCTGGGCTCTCCACCCCTGCTAAATACACTTGTAAAAGAATTGAACTAGTTGGTTCTGATGTGAACTGTTACTTTGCACATTGGTCATGATTTCCTTTAGCAGTTGTGATTTAAAGTGTAGTTCTGTTTGACGATTACTTAGAGTCTGTGTTGGTATCTGGAATGGAAAGAAAACTCCAGTGTGTCTGCACCTTCATCCTCTGGGAAGTTGGTTGCTAATCTTGAAACCTACACAGGCTCCCAGATCAGGCTGGGGCATCTTCTCTGCCTGCCCTGCCATGCTGAGTGGGAGCTGTACATGCTGAGTTCTGGTGTCTGCACTCTGTAATTCCCACTGTTAAACAGCCTCCTGCACAAAGGACCCGAGCAGAATTAGGCTTTGTACTACCTGGCGCCACAAGAAGTCAGTCCAATTTGTGTGTGAGATTTGTCCAAGAGAGATCACAGAGGGAACGAGCAGGAGAGGTGAGATAGTACATGATAGGAGGTGTTTAACTTCTTGATTGTTTGGGACTGCAGTGCTTACAAGGGAGTCTGTCCTCAGGCCTTCCATTAGTTCTGCCAAATAACAGCCCTGGCACTGCTTTTATCCTGTCCCTGTCTCCTGTACCTCAGTGCTGGTCAGAGCTGGGCCTGTCGCAGTTTGCTCTTCACTAGATTTGCCTTGGGTAGTGTCATAAAGGATATGTAAGGCCAAACTGTAATCAGCTGTTTCAGGTTGTGGTATCTAGTGCAACTCTTCAGAATCTGCTGTGCAGTGAGCCTAAAACTCTGAGCAGGGCTGAGAAAGAAAAGCTGTGCTCACTCTGCTGCAGCTAAACTTAATTTCCAGATGCCTTTGAGATTGATTGTGAATCTGCCATGTGTAACAGCTCTGGCAGAAAGTGAAGTTATGTAGACCAAGAGTGGTTTCTAGCCCCTTGTAAAATAAAAATAGGAGAGAAACGAGGTGTAAGAGTAACAAAGAGGCAATTTATCCACCCATGTCAGAGTGAAATGGAACTTTACAGTCAGTGCCTGCCAGTATTTCAAGGGATAAGTGAAAACTACAGGAAGAGAACTTGGGAAAAAAGTAGTTTCATTGAAAATTTGAAGTGGTATTAAGACAGGCTAGCAGAGAGAGGGAGTTGGTGTAAGATAAAATAAACTGTGCTTTAAATCGTTGGTTATTTCAGCAGTTTGGAATGTGAATTCTTTCTCTTCCAACATGCATGGGCTTTCAGTCTGCTCTCTGTGGGCTGTCTCAATGCCTGTGCTGCACTGCTGCTCTCCAGCAGGCTGCTGTCCCTCTGATCTAGCTAAATGAGACTGAAACTGGAGGAAGGAGTCTCTTCAATGAATTCCAGTACTGAGCACTTCAAGTTGCTGCTCTTATTATGCTGTGAGCATTTGTTCTGATTAACATCATAGACTCAGAGAATTTTAGGGGCTGGAATAGACCTTACAGATCATCCAGCCCCTGTCCTGGGCAGGGACACCTCCCACCAGAGCAGGTTGCTCAAGGCTCATCCAACCTGGCTGTGAACACTGCCAGGGTTGGGGCAGCCACAGCCTCCCTGGGCAACCTGGGCCAGTGTCTCACCACCCTCACAGGGAAAACTTTTGCCTGATATCTAACCTAAATTTCCCTCTTTCAGTTTGTACCCATTGCCCCTTGTCCTGTCCCTGCAGCTCCTAGCAGAGTCCCTCTCTGGCTCCCCTCTAGGCCCCATCTCTAACTCATCAATTGGCCTTTGAATGTTGCTCGTGGCTCAGTCAGTTGCCCTAGAACAAAAATATATTTATGGTACAATTTGGTAACCCCTAAATTCATCATCAGCATAGAAGAGTGCTCAGTGGCCACGTCATATCCCTGTGTCCCTCGGGTTCTTGTTGGCCATGACAGTGGAGAGAAGTCCCACTCTGTGCTGTTTGGCTATGCACAAGTTCAGCAATGCCTTTTCTATTGTTTAAAGTGGCAGTACAGCCTGGGCAGGATCCAGCTGCTCACTGGGTGTGATCGTTCACATTCTGGAGTGAGAGTGGGACAGCATGCCTTACAAATCAGGAGAACTGGGAAACCTTCAGTCTGAGTTGGTCAGAACTGCACTTGCCTAACAGATTTAATTACATATCATCAGAGAAAGTTTGGGAAAGTGTCATAAAGCTGAGATGTAAAAAGTGTTACTCAGCCTCGTGCAAATTTTCACTGTCCAAAATTATAAGTTGTGAAGTTTCAGTGTAAAGGAAACACGAAGAAATGTGTCGTCTGATAATACTGTCTGGATAGAGCTGAAATCTCTTGTGTAAATATGCTGAGTTTGTCTCTGTACTGATCACAGGTGAATCTGGACTGGGGAAATCCACGCTAATAAACAGCCTCTTCTTGACAGATCTGTACCCAGAGAGGATAATTCCAGGAGCTGCTGGTAAGCACACCTTGGTTCTGGTTTCCCTGTGCTCTGTGGGTTTGGAGTTGGATGATTTGTCTGTGGATTTTGGTACCAGCCAGCAGTGATTTCAGCTGCAGTAGTTTCTGAGGTATTTCCTGACACTCAGACTGTGTTTGGAACTGGTTCCCTCTGCACCCAGGATGTCTGTGGGGTCTTTGTTACTCAGTCCTGAGCTGTGTTTGTATTGGCACTTAGGAAGTTGATCCTTCTTGTGCCTAAAAACTTCATTGTGTCACAGTAAGATAAATCATCAACAGAAACAATAAGAAGCTTTATTAGTTTTTAATCTGTTGCAGCTGTAAACAGGTGCATTGTTTATACCTGCTTGGCCTTGCACCTTAGTTCCTTTGCTTTAGGCTGGTACTCAGTGGCTGTGAGCTTCACCTCTTGTTCTCTTCCAGTCCCTTCTCCCTTTTTTGTTCTGCTAACCGGGGCAGGTGATAATCCAGCAAAAGAGAATGTTGTGAGAAAACAGAGGGAGATGCTGTTTTCCCCTCTTTGCTGCCTGTTGAATAACTTGCTCTGATAGTTTACCATGTTAGCTGGTGATTACTTATCACTTTGAGCCTCGGGGGAAAAAATCCTTTGCATACAATTTTATATTGTTCTCCAGTTACCTACAGTTCTGTTTCAGCCCCTTTTTGCTTTAATTTCTGCATTCAAATCAAGCCAAGTATGAAATCTCGCATGATCCCCTAACAAAATCTGAAGATCCAAGTCCTGATTTTGCTGTTACCAGGCCCGAGGATGTAATCCACGGAGCAACATTCGTGTTGTAGCTGCCAGTTAATCTCAGAGCTGTTGTGGGAGTGCTGTTCTGGCCCCGCGGGTGCTGAGGGCTATGTTGTCCACAGATAAGATCGAGCGCACGGTGCAGATCGAGGCGTCCACGGTGGAGATCGAGGAGAGGGGCGTGAAGCTGCGGCTGACGGTGGTGGACACGCCTGGCTACGGGGACGCCATCAACTGCCGAGACTGGTGCGTGCTCCGCCTTCCAGGGGAGGGGACACTGCAGGGGGCACCGGAGGTTCTGCAGACTTCCTCGTTTGCAGGAAGCTTAGTTTGTGTGCTGTGATTAGTTCAGACACACGGAGAGAGGCATCAATAGCCTTCACATAACTCTCAATAAGTGTTATGGCACATAGGGGTTTTTTTCCTTGGTTAACTTTCTTAAGCTTGGAAGAGCTGTAAGTGAACAGTGACAAAGCAATGGAACCAGTGGGACACAAGAAATTCAACAGTGCTCTGAGGAAACAAATCATCTAGGTCTTCTGTGTGAGCAAAAACCTTTAGCAAACCTTTAGCAAAAACCCACCTTTAGATCTTGTCCACATTCACTTGAGTAGTCTCAGATTCTGTGCTACATTTTTATGAGCTTTTCATCATCTTTGGGTTTGTTTGTTTAGGCTTGCTGCTAAATTTACATTCAGAAATAATCTTGAGATCCATGGCAATCAGTTTCCAATGGTAATCCCTATTCCCACATCTCCCAAGTCCCTGAGCCTGAGGCAGGGACTGTGGAAATTAGGTCACTCCCAACATAAGTGAAATTCAGGTTCAACACCACCTGAGAAATGTGAATTTGATAAGGCACTTGATAAATCCATGAGACCTGACAAGCTGCATCCCATCTGGCTGGGTTGCCTGTTGCATATGTAGTTTCCAAGCCACTCTCCATCATATTTCAGAACTCGTGGCAGTTAGGCAAAGTCCCCAGAGACTGGAAAAAGGGAAACACCATGGTCATTTTTAGAGAGTGTTAAAAGGAGGATCCTGGGAACTACTGACTAGTCAGCCTCACTCTGTGAGATCATGCAGCAATGAGGAGAGGCTGAGAGAGTTGGGAGAAGACTCCAGGGAGACCTTACTGAAGCCTTTCAGTATATGAAAGAGACTCATAGGAAAGAAGGAGAGAGACTCAACAACAAGGTCTGCAGTAGCAGAGGAAGGGGCAGTGGTTTGAGAGTAGGTCTAGATTGGACGTAAGGAAGAAGTTTCTCACAGTGAGGATGGTGACACTGGCACAGGTTGCCTGGAGAGACTGTGGCTGCCCCATCCCGTGGTCAGGTTGGGTGAGGCTTGAAGCACCCTGAGAGATGTCCCTCTGCACATGGCAGGGGTGGAGCTAGGGGATCTCTAAAGGTACCTCCCAAGCCAACCTGTTCTATAATTTTAAATCAGTTTGAAACAAGAAGCTGGAGTTCCCCTGAGCACGTGTGACTAATGCTGACCAAAATACTAACCCAGTGGATTTGCTGCAGAACTGACGCTCTGTTATGTATGTATATTTTGTCTTACTGTGCACGTTAAAGAGCCACAGGTAGCAGCTGGTTGCTGTAGGATTCAGTTGGAATTTCAGGATTAGTGCTCCTTTCCTTTTCCAGCCCTGCGGAATGAGGAAATGAATTTTTGTCCATCAGCAGGATGTCCTGGTGTTCTGATATTACCTTGGGAACAGCACGGAAGTTATTGACCATCTGGAAATGAGTGTGATTTCTTGGTTCTATATTTGTTTTGCAGCTTTAAGACCATAATCTCCTACATTGATGAGCAGTTTGAGCGATACCTGCACGATGAGAGTGGCTTGAACAGAAGGCACATCATAGACAACAGAGTTCACTGCTGCTTCTATTTCATTTCGCCGTTTGGTCATGGGTAGGTGTTGTCTCTCTCTCAGGAGTTGTGGTGCCTGTCAGGGCTTCAGAGTCAGGCTGCTGTTCCTTGAGCCCATGCTCTAACTGCTGGCATGACTTGGCTGTGTTCTCTCTCTCTGTGCAGAGAGAGGTCTGTGTTGGTGTGGAAAAACACTGGTGGTTCAGAGTAAAGCCAAATAAATCTTTCCCCATTGTGGAATTTTAGCCTCAAGCCTCTGGATGTTGAGTTTATGAAGGCCATACACAACAAAGTGAACATCGTGCCAGTGATTGCCAAGGCTGATACACTTTCTCTGAAGGAGCGAGAGAGACTGAAGAAGAGGGTGAGTTTTTCTCTCTTTCCTGCACTGTGCTCCAGCTGTGGCTGTGGTGGCTGGAGAGAGGAGTGTTTTCCTTAGCCTCACTCTGTCCTGCTGGGGGAAATACAGACTAGTGCACAGTGTAACACCCTTCAATATGTGCTTTGGTGTCTTGTAAACTGCTTTGTTGTGTGTTTAGCTCTGATATTGTCCTTGGAATGTTGTGTGTGGAAGGGCAGATTGGCTTCATTTGCACCTACATGAGGAGTGGTTTTTGAGACTTTGGAGGAGTGTTTAAATGCCTTTGCTGATGGTAATTGCTCCCTTGCCTGTTTAATCAATCCCAAGGCAGACACAGGATCTGCATCCAGAATGTGCATGTGTTTTTTTAACCAAATCAGAGTTCTGGTGATTGAAAAATAGGGTTTTCAGAGCTGGTTTGGGGTTGCTTTTCTTCCCTCAAGTCACCTCCTTCAAAAGCATTCCAGGTCTTTCTTCCAGAGGCAAGGCTTCTCAGCAGGTTCAGTCCTGCAGGACCTGGTGCTGTATTGCTGGGGAGGGGTGGAATCCAGCAAACCACCATGGGTGACAGCTGTGGAGTTTAGACAGGAGTGTTCACATTTACTTGCCAGAAGACTCTCTTGTCCAGCCTTGACTGTTGTATTTAAAAGTAATGATTATCTCAGTTACTCTGAAAATCCTTATCTTACCCAATGCAGAATAAAAATAGAGAAGTATAGTTTGGTAGATATATTTGTTGTGCTGGAATTCTGCAGGAATAAAGACTGTTCTATTCTTTCTTAAGGAGCAAAATTTGGGTTTATGGCAAACGGGTTCCAGCTGCAGGTGCCACTCTTGGCAGCCAGAAAAGAGCATTTGTTGTGTCTGTAGCTCAGGTAGTTTTTCAAGTGCTCCCACTCCTGCCCCAGAGCAGTAACTGAAACAGAAAAGGGGTAAGAACAAGGAGGTTTAGGTTGTTCAGAGCAGTTATGACCTCTGAGTGATGCTTTTGTGGTTACAAAGCAGAAGTTGCACAGGTTTGAAAAGCAGTTTGCACAAAGGACAGTGTGTGTGAACACTGTTGTTTGAAAGTCTGGCAAGTAGCTGTTTAACGCCATGAAGGAATATGGTATTTGAAAACAGAGCCTTGTTGAGCAATTTAGGCCAGTAAGACAGGCCCAGATTTCTGTGTGTTAGTAATTTTGCTAAGATTTAAAAGCTCTGACTCTTACACATATCTCTGTCTCATGCCACAACTCTCAGATTCTGGATGAAATAGAAGAGCATGGCATCAAGATCTACCACCTGCCTGATGCTGAGTCGGATGAGGATGAAGACTTCAAGGAGCAGACCAGGCTCCTCAAGGTGTGACTGACTTCACAGCTGGCACGTGTGGGTAATGCACTGCACCTCTTCAGGCTGCTCAGAGGGCTTCAGAGCAAGCCCTGTGGTGAGACCCGGAGCGAGTCGCCGTGTCTGTGCCCAGACTGGAAGATGGTGCCACAAGTGCTTTTGTTATTTTACACCTTCAACTGGCACCAGTTATGAGCTTATTGCCACAGTGTGCAGTGCTGAGCAGGACAGGAGCTGCTCCTGGAGGTGTTTGCCCTGGTCACTGTCAGTAATGCCTGTGCTTTGTGCTTTCAGGCCAGCATTCCGTTCTGCGTGGTGGGATCCAACCAGCTCATTGAAGCCAAAGGGAAGAAAGTCAGAGGTCGGCTCTACCCCTGGGGTGTAGTTGAGGTGGAGAATCCGGAGCACAATGACTTTCTGAAGCTGAGGACCATGCTAATGTAAGTCACAAAATTCCAGTTAAGTGGTGGTTTTAAAAGCAGTCACCAGGAAACTCTGGCACTGGTTTGAATTTGTTGTGAGACACTCAAAATTTGTCTGGGGAAGGCAGTCTTGACCTAGCTGAGCTAGGCCTAGGTAGGGCCTGGACCACATGGGCCCCATAGGTTCTTTTCGACCTGAACTGCTCAGCGAGTCTGTGACTGGGCAGCCCAAGTGGATGTGCCTGCTGTGCCTGCTGAGCACACTGACCTGAGGCCGTGCTGAACTCCAGCTGGTGTAGCAAGCTGCTGTGACACCTCTTGATTCCTTTTCTCCCTCCAGCACCCACATGCAGGACCTTCAGGAGGTGACCCAGGACCTTCACTATGAGAACTTCCGCTCCGAGAGGCTCAAACGAGGCGGCAGGTTGTCATCTCAGGGCTATGTGCTGTTTCTTCCTCTGCTGAACTTCTCTTTTGGCCTCTCACTCTGTGTCTCACCCACTATTTCATTGCTAGGATTTGGTACATCAGGGGAGCTCTGTAGCTCCAGTCAGCACCCAGTTCAGTTGGCCAGCTGGCACTGAGTGTGAGAGCGTTTGGTAAACCTGAGAAGAGAGTTGTGGCATTCAGAAGGAATAGTCTGGTCTGTGCTTTGGTCTGAGGCTTGAGCACAGCTGGGTGGGGAGGCTGGAGGTACATAAGTGGGGCAGATGCCTGTGATAAACATCTTTAAAAACCTGCCAGCTAGGCCAGGGCTGATGTTTTAATAAAACTGTGGGTTTTTCAGAGTTAACAACTGAAACATTTTGGCTGTGTCTTTTAAAAGTGGTGCTCGAGTCCTCCTGGCGTGGTGAGACCTGTGTCTGTGCCCAGACTGGAAGGCGGTGCCACAAGTGCTTCTGTGATTTTACACCTTCAACTGGCACCAGTTGTGAGCTTATTGGCACACACAAATCCTTCTCTTTACATGGCAGTTGCGGGACAAGGGCTGTGAGCCCTGTCCTGGGCTGTGGAAGTGGGTGCACTGGGTGTTTCCTGGTTTCGACGTTCCAGCTGCGTCTCTTCCTGCAGCCACTAGAGGGTTCCGGATTTCACATTTCGGGGCTCCGGGGCAGTTTGCAGTGCTCTCCCTGTCCTGCTCTTGGCAGTTTTTGTCACCTCCCTGGTCAGTTTTCAGCAGAGCAGTTTGCCTGTAGCATTGGCCTTGCAAGTCCAGTTTTCTCCTCAGACAAGATAAGATGCTCTTCTGCCCTGATTTAAATCCTGTTTTCTGCAGTTCAAGCTGAAAAGCCCCAGATTTCCACAGTTCTGCTGCCTGTTACCCAGCAAGTGTGTCCAAGGCCTCAGCACTAACGCGGCCCGAGGTCACCCAGAGTTAGGGTACAGAGGTTTTTGGCAGTCTGTTTCCCTGCTGGTGTTTTGACCAGCACCAGTTCACCTGCTTTGCGCTGTTGAGGGCAGTGGCTTGATGAGAGCAGTTGGTAGATCTTCCCTGTTGCTGTTAGCAAAGTGCTTGGTCTTGAATAAAGCCAGGGGGGTGAGCGGCTCCTCCCAGGCACCAGGTGGCAGGAGGGCAGAAATGGCCTCAGGTTGTGGCAGGGAAGGCTCAGAATGGATGCTAGGAAGGATCCCTTCACTGAGAGGGTGGCCAGGCACTGGCACAGCTGCCCAGGGCAGTGGTGGAATCATCACTGGTGAGGTATTCAAAAGGCTCGTGGACGTGGCACCTGGGGCAGTGGTTAGTGGAGAACATGGTCCTGGGACTCAAAGTACTTAGAGGCTGTTCCAGCCTTAGTGATGTGATGATTCTAACAGTGTTCCTCTTATTTTAGGAAAATAGAAGACGAAGAAGTAAATAAGGACCAGATTCTGCTTGAGAAGGAGGCAGAAGTAAGATGGCAGACGTTTGTATTCTTGTAATGGGGGAATTTCTGTTCCTGTATCATGACTTTAGGTTATTTATGTTCTTATGCATTTCACTTCAGAGACTTGAACTTAGGGTGGTTGAAAACAGTAGTAACACCTCACTCTCAGCCAGTCAGTGCCAACCTCTGCGGGGGGAAGAGCAGCAGAAATGCTGCAACCTGAGATGGTTACCTGGCAGATAAAG